AGCGATCGCTCTTTAATGCTCGACAACAGTAAATATTTGGAGGACTGTTCTAACTGTCCTCATCTCAATTTGTTTTTGACAAACAGACACGGATCGCAATTCAATTACTTCTGCAATAAAATCACGACACTTAAACGCGCGCGCGATCTCCCTCTTCCCCGATATAATCTGCTTTCAATTAAGCAATCTTTCGGATTTAATGCGCGTCTAGTTTAATAAACGAGGACGAGCGGCGAGCGAGCGCGTATCACGACGTTGTGTGCTTGAATTAAGACCCCGCGGAGTTTTCAGTATCGCCCGGATTAAGATAGGATCGCACAACTGGGTGTCATCAGCATAAGAGATGCAATTACGGTTATTAAGGGCAGGCAATTACTGTTATTAATACGTTACAACGTTACATCCTGCCGACTACGCCGGAGAGCGATTACTTATCCTCATTACTACACGATGATGATGCCGAGCGATAAAGTCGCGCGCGGATAAGGAGGGGCGGGGGGGAGGGGGGGAGGCCCTAATACATAAAGAGAGTTAGACGATCGCAGATAAGGGAAACGGATAATAGGTCCCGTCACGCCATATAGCGAGAATCGCGAGGCGCGCAATTAGCCGCGCGGAACTCGCTACGGCCGCGCGGAAAAATCTCCATCGCGCGTAACACGAACGGCCCTCCAACGGCCGCGGAGAGAAGCCAACGTATACCAGGAGCCTGCTACTAAATTGCGTTTTAATCAGCCGCGCGAGCCCGCGCGCTGTCCAGTGAATATACGGACGATTATAGGGATGGAGCGCACGTGGTGCACCCTTCGGTGCGACGCGACCGCCACGTGACGCGTCAATTAGTATAGGCGAAACCGGAGTGCGAGAACTGGAGCGGATGCTATCGGCCGTACGACGGAAGAGTTCGACGCGGCGGCAAGAACTTAACTGCTCGACTATTTGAGTTTAATCGGCGTACGGATTGCACGTGTATATAAGAACGAGGGGAAGTCAGAAAGTACGATTCTATATTTAATTACCACGGATGTACTGCACACGGCGAGATGGCCGCAAAAGTGTGTCTAGTAAAAAAAAATTGAATGAATTGGAAACCTTACTTTCTGACATCCCCTTCGTACGCACGCTGCAGTCACGTGACTCATAATGAGGGAAATACATTGGCTTTTCGACGCGCTTTTTTTTTTGGAAATAGGGAACAGGAAAGCTTCGATTGCAATTGCGTGATTATATGTATCACGAATAGTTGAAATGAAAAATTCCGTGACCGCATATAAATTATTTTCCCCGTATCTCTCGCGAGTGGACAGGCGTAAAAGTTTGAGTTACAAACGCGTCTGTCACGCGGCTGTATCTTATTCCAGAATACATAAAATTTATCTTACAGGGGGCTCGTTTTCAGGCCGTTGCGGAATACGCGAAACGTGCGCGTGTCGGCAGGCGATAAACTTCACCTCGCTCGGAGACGTTATTTCCGTGGCGCGACTTTTAAGACAAGCGGCTAATGCGTAATCTCCCGGCGGACCAATTAGAAATTGCGAAACGACGACACGAACTCGCGCGCGCGCGCGCGCGCACGACCCGCGTGCGTCCGCCTCATGCATATTCAGGATGAGAAGGGTGTCCTGCCTGTCTGTGTGTCGAACGGGCGGACGTCGGGATTGAATCAACGCGAGCGACGCGATCCCGAGATGTCCCGCGCGATATAGTTCATGCGAATTCTCGAGAGGACCCGTTCGATTTGAAAGTAAAGCAGACGAGAGACGATCGATGGTACAAGAGTGAGTCTTCGCGCTTGCGAAATCGAGTCGCCTGTGATTATCGAGGAACAGCGGTGGATGCAGGTACAAGATGCACGACGGAGCGCACGTGCGGAGCCGCCGCGTCGTGCGCACAACCGGTTTGCGAATTAGAAAATAAACGGCAGGTCGACGGTATTCTGGCGCATCGATATTCAATTGTTTGCAGCATCACGAAGTCACTCCGCTTGAAATCTGATCGAAATTTCTACGAAGTAAGCCCTGAAGTTTTGTCAAGAGGTCCGCGTTTCATTGCTGCACTGGAGATTGCACCTTGAATTTTCCTTCTCGACAAATTTCAAATATGCTTATTTCGTTTTAAGCGTGCAGAGTGAATATTAAATGGAATATAAAAAAAAACAGATTTAAATTCAACGCTTCAGAATCGATTTCTTTTCCATCGCACCATCATAGACTAGGAATCATCCAGTTAACTCGATAACAAGACATTTCTTGAACGTCGATTCGATGGCATTCGAGAAACGATTTCCTCATAAAATGTGTAGCTAGAATACCAGTCTAAAGTCTTCTAAGATCATCGACGTATAACGATGTGTCGTAAGTATAAATATATAATGTTGTATAAAAATAATTTTGGACAATAAACCTTGATGATATTTTTCTCTTCAAATAAGCACAGCTGTCAATAAATTAGCAGTTGTGTTCGCGCGATATTTGACAGGTGATGGCGCATCGCCCGAAGCCCGACGTAAGAAGCACGCGATTATAAGCAATGCGAGTCAGTAGGTCTCGACGCAAGGCAAGGCAGTGCGTGGTCGCGATTGGGATCACGGATCTTGTGCGAGCGGCAGTCTGGTCGTATCGTATTAGCGTGGCAAAAGGACTCGCGAGAGAGGAGAGCCGCGGCGCGGTGACGCAACGCCCCGCTCGCCTGCGTCTTGCTGCGGGGGCTCTAACCTCAGCTATTATGCAAATTAATGTTAATTAAAATCAAACAGACATCCCCCGCGTGCTCGCCGTAGAGAGGCACACGCGCATACGTGTGTACGTACCACGGTTACGGCACGGCAGTTAGAATCGCCAGATTTTTCGACTCTGCAAAATACCAGACAGAAGTTGTGTGAAACGAGCGAGAGGGAAACGGTAAAGAGGTCTTATTTCAGTACCAATCGTACTTATTTAGAGCATAAGTTTTCTAATTTTTTAAGTACATACATAATAATATTATATAAAAATGTGTAATATTATTTAAAAAATTTGTAGAATATGTTCTAAACAAGTACGATTAGGTGTGAAATAGGATCTTTTTATCGTCCTTCATTTTCTTCTCATTCATTTCATTACAATTGAATGACCTCTAATTTTGGATAACAAGCTCTTGTGATATTTTCATCTTCAAATAATCGTTATATGTTAATAACTTAGCAATTTAATAAATCTATATGAATATATTAAAGAGAAAGAGAGAAAGAGAGAGAAGGGGAGGGGAAGATGTGTATTTATAATCCTATCTGACTTTTGATACAAATTATGGTACGAGATTGAAAAGAACACGAAAATAATACGGTGCTGGTGATGATACCAAACTGTTTTTAAAGAGAAAACGCGAGCAGCCTCGGCAGCATAAGCGATTACATAAGGAGTATTATCGAAGTCGGTCGCCGCCGACCGGTCGATTTACCTTATCAGCGGCGCATGTAAATGCCAATTTATCGGAGAAACGTTCGTTTATCTGCGAACCGTCTCGACTGCCCGATTAGGGATAAAGACTGCGAACAAGACGATTTTATCGGCCATTAAAACGCGTGCCGGTAATCGCGCCCGGTCGATTTCGACTAATTAAGGGCCGTTTAATACCGCGCATTAATACCGATGCCCGTGTCATCGCGTTATCTCAATTACATTTGTTATACTCGCCGCGGAACAAGCAGGGTATTATTAATATCTTCACGCACGTGACTGTGTGTACGTGCTAATTTGATTATACTTGTGCAAACTGTAAAGATAAGTTATTCGTCCACGCACGTATAAAAACTTGTTGCATAACTAAGTTTGCAAAATTTAATAATATTGGTCACTTTTATATCTGCAAAAGTGTTCAATCGTCATTACTCATTTTCACGCGATTGTCATAATAAATTGAAGTACAATTATTTAGCATTTTATAACAAAAATCACGTACGATTTTAAAAGTAACTAGTCTTCTTTTAAAAAAGGCATGTTAAATCGATACTCAAATCTATCGAAGTTTATTATTCCGTAATTAGTTGTCTCGCTACGCTTACTTTGTGAACGGCTGTAATTGCATATTTTGACAGTTGCATATTGAAGTTAATAATATATAATAAATAAAAGTTAATAATAAAAGTTAATAATATATAATAAATATACATATAGTAAAAAATAAAAAAATATTAAATAGCGCGCGAAACTGTAATGCTAGTTAAAATAAAATAAAAAAATAAATAAAAAAATGCCAACAGTACACGGTGTTCCCAAACGGTCACCCATTTAAGTACTAACCATGCTCAACGTTGCTTGACTGAAGTGATCGGACGAGAACTTGTACGTTTCAACGTGATTTGACCATTGACGAAAGTATCTTCTTTATAAAGAGGTAATATATTTCTTCATCAAATTTTTATATTAAATTTATATTTTTTAATAAACATGTATCAAAAAATATTAAATAGCGCGCGAGACTGTAATGCTAGTTAAAATAAAAATTAAAAAAATAAAAGAAATGTCAACAGTACACGGTGTTCCCAAACGGTCACCCATTTAAGTACTAACCGTGCCCGACGCTGCTTGACTGAAGTGATCGGACGAGAACTTGTACATTTCAACGTGGTTTGACCGTTGACGAAAGTATCTTCTTTATAGAGAAGTAACATATTTCTTCATCAAATTTTTATATTATATTTATATTTTTTAATAAACATATTCAATTTATTATTAATATTAAATGCGTTTATTGAATGCAGCGCGTGTTGCAAGTTTCACATTCAAAGTAGTAGAATTTCCGCTAAACGATCGCGAGTTAAGCCCGCAAAAGTGGAACGAACGAATAATAATTATCGGAAATACCACCGGCGCACAGTGGACCACAATCCTGAAAAATTGGCCAAAAGTCGAGAAATTAATTTTTAATTTTAGAAAATGTTATTATCGTTTCTGTAGTCAGCTTGATGGTTAGCGACACATGCTAGCACATAGCTAGCACGTGGATAACATGTGTCTAACAGGAATGCGGCCTACATTTCTGAAAGAGAACTAAATTCTTCTTCGAATGATCCTACGTTTACATCTCATATACCTGAATTTCCATTTCAGTCGAAAGTTGCTCTTTGTACGGAACAGTCGGAGGTAACGAAGATTCTACCAGTGTGGTTTTGTGCGTATATTTCAAAAAGTGTAAAAATCAAATTCTGCAAAATGGATTCTATTCCTGGAAGTATGTGCAATAAAGAACAATACTAACAATGTTTTTTATGTGTATTACATATATAGCTATTGAGTTAAATTTAAGTTTTTAAGAAATGATATATTTTGAAAGAATTAAATTTTCAAATATTCAAATAGTTATGTATACTACCTTATTCTGAGATTAATACAAATTTTTTAGCTTATACTTTTCTCTTTCGAATCGTTAAAAATTTAGCTGCTTTTATCTGCTTTTGCGGTATTGCGATAAATTTTTGTACAAGCGCTCCGCGCAGTTTCGGTATCGATCGTTTGCCAAGCGTGTAAACAGACCAGACCTTGGCATAGACCTTAGTTGTTTTGCCCAACAATCTTTTGTTATAGATAGGGTCGTATAGTATTAAAGGGACAAGTTATTTCAGGTAAAAGAAACAAATACAGTACCGTCGAAAAGTTCGCGTTGAACGCAAAACTATTTCTCTATCATACTGAAATAAGTTATATGTCAGTTTCTAATACATTATTTGAAAGTATATCTTTAGATTTAAAAAATTTAAAACTTATTTTAAAAAATGCACTTTAAAATAGCGTATACATTTTTATACGCTTATTGGAAACTGATATTTTATTTTAGCAAGATTGATACATGATTTATTTTAGCGAACTTTTCTGTCATGTCATATGTTAGTTTCTAATACATTTTAAAGTATTATTTTAAGGTATATCCTTATAGATTAAAAAAATTTAAAACCTATTTTAAAGAATGCATTTTAAAATAGCGTATACATTTTTTTATACGGTTATTATAAACTGATATAATATGATTTATTTTAGCAAACTTTTCAGCGGTACTGTATTGTAATGATAGTTTTCCGACATATATAAGCGTTTCTGTACTTATGTGCAAGTGCAAATGCGCATTGAAGTTTTTTATTTTAACGTTCTTAAGCCGCTTTAACACCGCAGTTTTGAAATAACTTCTAAAAATATAATAAATTCATGAAAATTATATTAAATTGAAACTACACTCTGCGTACTACGAATAATATTAAAATAATATATAAATCCGAGACCACAGTTTGAATATGTTTTCATTGCAGGATCGGACAGAAATGTACACTAAAGAAGAAGTATTTATGATCGTTTGAAGGAGGGCTTGTCCAAACAAACTGAAATTTTGAAAGCTGCATGGACAGAAAACCGTAATATTCTCGTACATGAAGGTATAAAGCCTGCCCTTGCTAAGTTTTTTCACACGATCAGAACAATGTGGGACAAACATATAGCAACTTTGACATCAGAAGTTGAAAGAACCTTGTCTAATGACGAAGCACTTTCGATTTTGGTCGAATATAAGTTCTCGAAGCGTACTTACCAGGGAATAGTAAAAGTAGGCAAAGAAAATAATTGTAAGTTGTATCCATCTTACGATAACGTTTTAAAAGCGAAAAAGCGTTGTTATCCACCACGTACTAGCATTACGATCACAGGGAGTTGTGCAGAAGTAAAATTGCAGGCTTTATTGGATCACACAGCAGAGCGTATTTTGTTCCTCCAAAGAGAAGTTATTGGTAGCTTGGCTGTAGAAAATGCCAGAAATATACGCCTCATTTGTAAGTGGGGTTGTGACGGAAGCTCTGGACGTTACAAGCAGAGGCTCTGGAAAAGCGTTTACAAGCAGAAGTTTACCGAAGGCGGCAAATCAGATGGAAATGTGTATGTCACCTCACTTGTGCCGTTACAGCTCGTATATAAGGACCACATATCGAACACAGAAATTGTTGTGTGGAAGAATCCTAGACCATCGTCTTCTCGATTCTGTAGACCGATAAGACTGCATCTTCTGCTTGAAAATGTTGAGTCGGTACTCAATGATGTCGATGACATTGAACAACAGGTGGAGTCGCTTGTTCCTTTCACAACACAAGTAAACGGAATGGAAATCTGCGTTAAATACAACATGACGTTTACGATGATAGACAGTAAAGTTTGCAGTGCGGTACCAGGTACAAAATCTGCTCAACGTTGTTACTTGTGCGGAGCTACGTCCAAGGAGTTCAACAACATAGATGAGATTCTGCAGAAAAAAGTAACTGAAACTAATGTACGATTTGGAATATCAATGTTGCACGCTTGGATACGTTTTTTTGAATGCTGTTTGCATTTATCATACAAACTCGAAATTAAGAAATGGCAAGCTAATACTAAGAGGGAGAAAAGAATTACCGAAGACCGCAAAAAAGTTATTCAAAAGGGATTTCGTTTACAATTGGGACTAATTGTTGACCGTCCAATAAAACCTGGTTACGGAAGCACTAACGACGGAAGTACAGCTCGACGCTTTTTCAAAAACTCGAGTATATCTGCTACAATAACAGGTGTTTCCGAACATTTAATCAATCGGTTTCACGTGATTCTACAGGCCATTTCGAGTGGCCATAATATTAAATGCGATAAATTCCGAGAATATGCTCTGGAAACTGCGCGGAAATTTGTCGAGTTATACCCGTGGTACGACATGCCGACTTCAGTACATAAACTTTTAATTCACGGGCCAGAAATTATAGCATCCGCCTTATTATTACCGATAGGTCAATTATCCGAGGAAGCACGAAATAAGAATATCAAAAAACTTTGTAAAAATTTTTCGCGAAAGTGCTCAAGAGATAATATACAAGATGTTTTCAATCAGCTGATGGTCACTTCGGATCCATATATTTCTAGTATAAGAAAACTGCCTCAAAGACCACTCGAATCATTGTTGCCAGAAACTATCGAATTACTAGAATCTCCAACAGCTCATGCTGCAATCACGGATGAGATGTATACCGATACATCCGAATCTTCTGAATCTTCAGAAACCGACACTCATATTGACATTTATTGCGATTCTGATACTGATATTGATTTCGATTTTTGTCCATAAAGTAAAAATATCTTCTTTATAATGTACAAAATGTATAATTTTGTTTGTCTTCTTTATAATGTACAAAATATATAATTTTGTTTATTTTCTCATTATCTACAGCGATCTCAAAAACCTGAATATACCAACTTTTGTGTAAATTAAATGATCTTTGACATTTTGACCAATTTTTTAGGATTTTATGCGACGCCACGGAGTCTCGACGAGCCGCTCACCGTCTGGATCTCGAGACCCATCGCGTTTTTCGCGGTTCTCGAGCGACACGCGCTGTCGATTCACTCATCGATTTAACGGCCCGGGTGATCCACATCGCGCGCGATCGACCGGGAAAAAATCCGCCGACAATCTACATACACATCGCGCGGGGTCGCATCGGGAGTAAACGAGAAAGCGGGTCGGAAGCCGCGCGTAATTTACGAGCAATAAGCGAGTCTCCCCGAGCGAGAGATCTCTTCGCGGAGCGGCGAGCGGAGCGGAGCGGAGGAGGAGGCGTCGTCGTTAGGATTGGAATATGCACGGCCGCGACCTCGGTGAGCTCGCCTAGGTTCACCTTTCCTTCGACGACTCCTCATCCGTGCCTCGACCCACTCTCCTCAAGTACACCTTCACCGATATATACTCGCCGCGCTCTCGATCCCCTCGACGGGGAGAGGATGCAGCGCGACCTTTGGCTACGACGAATCGACGAGGATTCGTGAATGATAGCCCGCCGAATATCGGAATCGCGAATTGGACAGCGCGACGGTCTCCAACATCGAAATGCTATTAATCAGGGACGCGTTAATTAATTTGAAACTAAATAAATGCTGACAAACAGAGAAAACATTCAATAATTAATTTGAAACTAAATAAATACTGATTAACAGAAAAAATTCAAATAATGATACGATAAAGGTTAAAAAAGGGAGAGAATTTTCAGCGATCTCGCCGATCGACACAGCGGATTCAAGCGCACTTTCGAAATTCGTCGTATTATATTTATCTTCAAAATAAGCAGATCGTTCGATAACCGCTGAACCCGCAAGTCTGTTATAGCTGAACTTTAACGTAGTCCAGGGTTGCACGCTGCTCTTTGCGGTAGAAGGTAACGGCGGCGGCCTCACCGAGAAGAATACGCGGCGACGCTGACCGCGGCGGGTGAACCGCGCGGCGGTGCCCGGCGAGCGGGCGACATGGAAATAGTCGCGATAAATCGCTCTCGCCACGAACTATTCCATTATAAAAGCAGCATGCGCCGGGAGTAACACGGCCGCTCGCGACGACGTTGCTTTGTGCGCCTGGCGGCGCGGCGCGGCGCGGCGCGCCTACCTGTACACAGGGTAGGCATCGCGTATCCGCCGTACCCGGTTGCCGCCGACAGACGCCGCGCCGCGGAGGCCGGCCGGCGACAATCGCGCGAGCCAAGGACTTCGCTGAAACCCCGCCGAGGATCCTAGGCATAGATCTTCGCGGCCTCGCTTCCTCGAACATTGTACTCCCGACATTCTCTCCCGGTTCCGCGAACGGGGAGGCGCGGATAAGTCAAATCTTCGAGATAAATCGATCTGCAATTGTTGAAAGTTGTCCCTTCAACGCGATTATATGCGTCGTTTATTTAAGGTTAAAAGAATTCTCATTATAAAGAAGCGACGATTTCCGTATCTCGTTCTTCTTGCGTCAGGCACATGCAATATTTACATCCGCTGTATTTTAATATTTTGATCTTTTTAACAAAAATGATAAAATTTCTTATATATAATGTCTTCACGCCTGCAGGAAGAACGGAATTCGACGATTCCGGTAGACGCGAAATTTTCCACCAGAGTTACATCGTTCCTATAGACTTGGCAACCTAGAACCTTCTACTCGCGCATTTCCAGTTCATATTTACCAAGGGTACCACCGAGTTAGGCATTACTCGTGGCTCATAAGACGGACGTTACCGGTACTGCTCTGCCCTGCGTGCGCGCGAGCGCGTTACCATCACGAACGCACAAAGAGGCGAGGTAGAGGCACGCCTGTTATTACTCGCGCAGATTGATGGAATCAAGCAACCAGTCATTTCGTGGTGGAATCAGTGAGAATTAATATCGGGCTATTAATTTCTCCCCGCTTTACGGCGGGAGATCCCGATCCCGCGCGCCGTGCCGTGTTCACGCGTATAATACACGCGGATATCGAGCGAACAACTGCGCGTACACCCGCGCACAAGCACACATACACACACACATACATACATCGTCGATGGTGATGCGCACGTGAACGCACATCTCGGACAAACGTCGAGTCGGTCGAGCAAACAGCGCGCGCGCGCGCGCGCGTTGGAAAAGACTCCCTCTACGTGATTTAGACAGCTTTTTCCGCGCGCGCAGCAAGATCGGCGCGGCGCGGCGTGCAAGAACCCGGCACGGCGATTGCTCCCTGATGAGCCTCCAGGATCGCACGGATTCATGGACCCTCTTAGCGTGAATTGATGCGCGGGCATTAATTACGCCCGCGATACGGGGCTACGTTACCCCGTGCATCTCTCGCACAACTGGCATCGATCGATGATCGAGTCGGGGTCAGCCGCGGCGCGGCCCTGACGGAGATTTGTACCAATTTGTTGATCAAATCGCGCTCGCGGCCTGATGGACGAGCGTCGATGCGCGGACCAGGAAATGCGCTATTCGTAGGGTACGGACAGACTGCATGAAATATGTAGCACATATATGGCGCAGAGTGCTATAGTTATTAAGAAGGGGCATGCGGATAAAGACGATCCTCTCGCGAGATGTAAAGTTTATTTTAACAGAACTTTAACCCTTACATAAAAGTCATAAGTTTAACACTCAAAATAAGCGGTTAATCACTATAATCTCTCGGTATTAAATTTCTGCATGGGAAAGAAATAGTTAATTTGATTGATGAAGTCTTTGTGGAGGTATAAAAAAATTTATACGCTGTAAGGCCTGTAAGATTGTGAAAGAGGATAGCTTCTAATTCAATTCACTTTATATCTTGTTATACACGTTCTGATTCAACGCAGGAAACGCATAAGAACGATAATTAGTGATAGAATTACTGAGAATTAAGCGAGTGTGTTTGTTATTCGCTTAAATGGATTACGGACCGTATTTGCCATCAATTTAGCCGAGACAGACACGCAATTTCACGGTGTACGCCAACACGATATCGCGATGCTAGTAAATCTGTCATTTACATTAACTCTATGTAATTACTCCTCTCGCTACCTTCGCCATTTAAATTTTATTTGCACCGAGCGCGAAAAAAAGAAGAACCCGATCTCGCCGGGTGGGATTTTCTCAAGACCCGCAAGACAGTCCCCGCGCGCGCGAGCGAGCGAGCGCGCGGTGGCGGCGGCCGCGCTCGGAGCATTTCATAAGCCGGGGCGATGGCGCCATCGGCGGTTGTATTTATTGTACAATCCCGTCGTAAGGCGCAGGCAACAAAAAAAAAAATAAAAAACCTTTACAGGCAACCAAGCCAGGCGCGCGGTGTATGCCGGGTGTGTCGATTGAGACGTCGCTCGGGATGCACGAACGTTGCACTGCAGTGCAGCGGCATGCCGTCGAATCGGCCGTTGCGGTTGCGCGTGCGCGCGCCCGCGCCCGCGACGCGATAAATATCAGTTTCCCGGCCCCGATCTCCTTCGGTTTTCAGTGTAAATGCAAAACCGCGCGTAATTCACGCTGGCAAGTAACACGCCTCGCCGATGGGACCCCCGCGGCGAGCTTACAACGGCTTCATAAGAGACGGCCCGGAGAGAGCCCGCCGCTACTCACCGCCGGCCGATCTTAGTTACACCTGCTCGATAACGACTCGGTAGGCTCGATCATCAGAGATACTTTGAATCGTGTAATTTTAATTGCTACATCATTGAGACCGTAAATAACGTGGAAGGCGAGTTCACTGCGGCGACCAGTGTGCCTGTACACTTCACGTATATTTGAACGTTAAAGGATAGACTTCGGTTTATTCTCCGGACAATAATCGTGTTGATTTCTCCTTTCGCCATGACTTGTGACACAGAAATCAAAGATTGTAAATTAAAAATTTAACGTATTTTGGAACTTGTACCTCGAGTAGTTCATGCGAGGGAGTAGCGAATATCGCGAATTAAACTTGTTCATAATTCGCAATATATAATTTTCTATCTAGCGTTAAAAATCAACTGCACATATCTAACATTAAAGGATATAGATATATATAACGTAGATATATAACGTTAAAGGATATAGACTTCGATTTATTCTCCGGAAAATAATCGCGTTGATTTCTCCTTTCGCTATGACTTGTAACATAGAAATCAAAGATTATAAAATAAAAATTGAATGTACTTGAAGCTTGTACCTCGAGTATTCATGCGAGGGAGCAGCAAAATATCGCGAATTAAACTTGCTCATATAATTTGCGATATAATTTTTTATCTAGCGTTAAAAATAAATGTTAAGCATGTCAGTGTGAAGTTAACGATTTCTATATTAGAGAGTCACAGCCTCTCGCCTTGAGTTACATCACTCTCTGATCGCAGTTCAACGTCATCCGTTCCTTCGGCAATTAAACGGCCGCGTAATCGCGTGCGCTTTCTATGCATAACGATCGGCGGGCCCCGCATTCAAATGCGGCCGCAATGGTCATTTATAGAGAACCGCGGAAAGGTTCGCTGGAGCGCTCGGGAGCTCCAAATTGAGTGCCGCCTGATCGAGAGGCCTTTCCATCTGTCTCGACGTATATACGCCGCCGACTGAAATAGCCGTGCGACGCGGTCGTTGTTTCGAGGACCGTGTCTACCTAAATGGAAGGCTAATTGCACGCGAAGTGGACAGGTGGAACGGTCATTCGTCGAGCGTTAGCACTAATGAGTGGTCGAATCTACGACCGCGTTCGAAAACGCCCGGAGAGTTTCCCCCTCGCGAGATCCCACGTGCCACCGCTTTGACAAACGTGCCAGTTTCACCGGACGTTACGTCGTAAACACATTTATCTTCGCAGCTGAAGCTTTATTAAAGCGTTTTTTGAGTATGCAAAAGTATTTTCAAATATACCGAGC